GGAATGGGGAAAGGGGAGCAAGAGCGAGTGAGCAAGTAATGGCAAATAATGGCAATAGTAATAGCATAAAAAAGGAGAGGAAAGAACAAGAGAATAGAAAGGAAGAGAAGGGAAAGGAGAGAGAAGCAGTAGTAGTATCAGCTACCAAACACACACACACACTCACACCAGTCAGCGTGGCTTCCAGTGGCCAGTCTTTTCTGGTGGTGGTGGTGGCGGTGTGTTTGACTATATTTACCCATTTACAGTGAAGAGACAATAAACTTGACACATTATGTCGAGAGAGAGAGAGGGAGACAGAGGAAGGGAGTGAGAGAGAGAGAGAGAGAGAAATAGAAAGAGCAAAAGAGCTGGTTCCAGAGAGAGAGGGGAGAGAGGAGAGGAGAGAAGATACACACACAACACACACACAGGACACAGGCAGAACCAGAAAGAGACAGGAGAGCACGAGAAAGTGTGAAGTGAATGCGAGGGAGAGAGTTTGGGTGTCTGCTGTCGGCGAGTGTGTGTGTGCGTGGGTCAGCTGGGCTGTGAGGGCGGTGGTGGTGGTGATGTGGTGTGTTGAAGGAGAAGGATGTGTGGAGGTGGTGGTGGTGGTGTTGTTGTCTTAGTTTGTCACTTTGCCTTTGTCATGTTATGTGTTGCTGCAGTACACTTCTCAGCCTCTTCCTCCTCTTCCTTCTCCTCCTCCTTCCTCCTCCTCCTGCTCCTCTGCATTCTTCTGCTTGCTGCTGCTCATCTCTCATTTTTTCTTAATCGCCGGCGCTCGAGGCGGAGTCACTGGACGGCCCGAATTAAGTCCACCGTACTGGTACTTTGCCTTCTTTTCCGATGGCTTCAATATCTGCGATAGTACACACAAAATAGCGTGCACGTAGAGAGTAACATAATAATAGAGAACGTTTTAGAATCTCAAAGTAACAAAAATAATAAAGTAAAAAGGGGGCAAAAAGAAAAGAGGATAAGGAGTAAGGAGTTCCCACCCACCCACGGCAAGCTAAGTTAGGTAGTAGCCCTAGTCCCTGCCATCATCAGTGGTAAGCAGCAGCAGATGTAGCCAGCACGGCCTCTCTCACTCATCAACACAACACAACGCACTCACTCACACTCCTCTCTCAAACTCTCTCACACACAGCCCACCCCAGAAAGCACTAATGTAATGGTTCAACTGCGAGGAGGAAAGAGGCGGCACTTGAACTTACTTGAAAGGAACACATTAGCGTCTCGTCGACGGACATCATCCCCCCGGCGTTGTCGAACTCGCCGCAGTAGTTGGGCGCACTGAAGAGGGTGACCAGCTGGCGCTTGGCGAAGAACTCGTAGCCGTCCTCCACCACCTGGTGGGCGCGGCAGATCAGGTCGAGATCGTGCCTGTGCAGAAACTTGGTCACCACGTCGGCACCGAAGGTGAAGCTGACGCCGCGGTCGTTCTCGCCCCAGCCCTGCACGTCCTTGTCCGGGTCGGACCAGAGGAGGTCGCAGAGGAGCCCGGTGTCGGGCACGTCCGTCGGGCGCATGATTCGGCGAATCTGCTCCATCGAGTGGAGATCAGGTGAGAGGCCTAGGGTGGTGGGGGTAAATAGAACATTAGCACACTCCAAAACAAATATTCAGATCTTGAGGACGTACCTCCGTGGCAGCA